GGAATGTACTGAGAACGTTTGTTCATTTTTGGGGAACAAAATTAGAATGTTCTGGGAATGTACTGAGAATGTTTGTTCATTTTTGGGGAACAAAATTAGAATGTTCTGTGAACGCACTGAGAACGTTTGGTTATTTTTTGGGGAACACAATTAGAACGTTCTAGGAACATACTGAGAACGTTTGGATATTTTTTGGGGAACACAATTAGAACGTTCTAGGAACGTGCTGCGAACGCTTGTTTATTTTTTGGGAACAAAATTAGAATGTTCTGGGAACGTACTGACAACGTTTGGATATTTTTTGGGACCAAATAATAATGTCCTTTGAATGTACTGAGAACGATTTCTAATTTCTTTGGCAACCAATTAAGAACATTCTTTTAACATACTGAGAACGATTACAAAATTTTTTGGGCAACCAAAATGAACATTCTGGCCTGGGAACATCGTGGGAATGTTAGGGGAACGTTTTATTTTCTTAAACTATCCTGTCTAACTGACAGAACGTTAGAACATCTGATTTGGGATCCAGGAACGTTTGCTGGGAATCATTACCATATTCCCTGCATTTGCATGCACGCATTGCATCGTAATCTGCGCTCGCTCATGTGTGCACCTGATGAACCCCACGTTCAGCAGAACCTGCGCAGATGAGATCCAGTCCTGAGCTCTGACACCCGGAACCAGCGCTCGGCCCGACACCTGGGGCAAGTTCAAGCTCAAATCGGTGTGCACCGCTTTGCTACGGTTTCCGGGTTGAACGACACGTTTCCTGGAAACGGTGTGTAACGTTTTCTCTTGTTTGGTGGGTGTGTCACACACGTCAGCCCAATCAGCAGCAGCATGTATATAAACCACGCGGTATTAAAGAGACAGCTGGCACAATGTAATTAAGAGCAAGTATATTGTTTGCACATGTTTATTTACATTAAAGGCAAAATAACTGAAATAATAAGAGCACAAGTATAGATCTGGAACTTCTTTAAGCTTGTCTAAATATCATTTAGTAATTGCAATATCTTTTGGTCCATATCCTTTCCTCAGGAAGGTGTGCTCGACACTGATTAACGTAACATAAAAATACCATACATATTTATATATTTTGCTATTGCATCGTGGAGTGACACAACTTTTCTATACCCCTCTGATTATATAATGGTAACTATTACCATATCATAGCACAACGACAGTGATCAGCAATAATGATAAGCCTAATACTCACAATAAAAATAATAAGGTCATATAGATCCTAACACAGTCTCGGAGGTAAGAAGTGGATTATCCTTCACCTGAAATGTTTGTCTTTTCATCCTGATGTTGGATCACAATCATTAGGAACCGCAGTTTGCACAAACCCCTTCATTTGATTGGGATGTTCTCTTTTATTCTGGAGGGCAAGGGCAGTGACTGTAACATCCAGCGTATTTTGCAGTAGGGGAGCGCGGGGCACAAACTCAAAGTAACGCGGGGTTAGTTGTAAAACAGAATGTACTGAGAACATTTGGTTATTTTTGGGGAACAAAATTAGAACTTTATGAGAATGTACTGAGAACGTTTGGTTATTTTTTGGGGAACAAAATTAGAACGTTCTAGGAACGTACTGAGAACGTTCGGATATTTTTGGGGGGAACAAAATTAGAACATTCTAGGAATGTACTGAGAACATTTGGTTATTTTTGGGGAACAAAATTAGAACTTTATGAGAATGTACTGAGAACGTTTGGTTATTTTTTGGGGAACAAAATTAGAACGTTCTAGGAACGTGCTGCGAACGCTTGTTTATTTTTTGGGAACAAAATTAGAATGTTCTGGGAACGTACTGACAACGTTTGGATATTTTTTGGGACCAAATAATAATGTCCTTTGAATGTACTGAGAACGATTTCTAATTTCTTTGGCAACCAATTAAGAACATTCTTTTAACATACTGAGAACGATTACAAAATTTTTTGGGCAACCAAAATGAACATTCTGGCCTGGGAACATCGTGGGAATGTTAGGGGAACGTTTTATTTTCTTAAACTATCCTGTCTAACTGACAGAACGTTAGAACATCTGATTTGGGATCCAGGAACGTTTGCTGGGAATCATTACCATATTCCCTGCATTTGCATGCACGCATTGCATCGTAATCTGCGCTCGCTCATGTGTGCACCTGATGAACCCCACGTTCAGCAGAACCTGCGCAGATGAGATCCAGTCCTGAGCTCTGACACCCGGAACCAGCGCTCGGCCCGACACCTGGGGCAAGTTCAAGCTCAAATCGGTGTGCACCGCTTTGCTACGGTTTCCGGGTTGAACGACACGTTTCCTGGAAACGGTGTGTAACGGGGTTTGAGATGCGTTTTCTCTTGTTTGATGGGTGTGTCACACACGTCAGCCCAATCAGCAGCAGCATGTATATAAACCACGCGGTATTAAAGAGACAGCTGGCACAATGTAATTAAGAGCAAGTATATTGTTTGCACATGTTTATTTACATTAAAGGCAAAATAACTGAAATAATAAGAGCACAAGTATAGATCTGGAACTTCTTTAAGCTTGTCTAAATATCATTTAGTAATTGCAATATCTTTTGGTCCATATCCTTTCCTCAGGAAGGTGTGCTCGACACTGATTAACGTAACATAAAAATACCATACATATTTATATATTTTGCTATTGCATTGTGGAGGGACACTTTCATAAACTTTTCTATACTCCTCCGATTATATAATGGTAACTATTACAATATCATAGCACAACAACAGTGCTCAGTTTAAAAAACGTTTTGCACCGTTTTGTCGGGGCTGAACGCAGCCCAGGTGTGCCGTTCAATATTTTTATGGAAACTGATTCATTTTATTTTAGAAGAATAGAAAGTTCAAAAGAGCAGCGTTTATTTGAAATAGAAATCTTTTGTAACATTATACATGTCTTTACTCTCACTTTTGATTAATTTAATGCGTCCTTGATGAATAAAAGTATTAATTTATTTTATTATTATTATTATTATTATTATTATTTTTAAATCAGCTGTCAACATCCATTACAGAGCGAGAAAATGTACTCAGATTTGACGAACGCTTTAAAAAAAAAAATAGACTAATGCTCGAAACAATATACAGGCAAACGACAAATAAAAACGAGAAACAAAATACAACAGAAAGGGAAAAAAACTAAATAAATGGGAAGTATCAACATGTTTTGAGGTTTAAGTAATTACAAAGTTAGACAGAAAACAAGGCAGCGCTGAGTTCTGCAGGACAAAACCAAAACTATGTAAACCACAATGCTGTTTAAACATAACTTCAGTCCTCATAATATGTTTCCTTATGGAATAATCGTTGTGTTTTATTTCAAAGAAAATCTATATTTTTGGAGGACTGGTGGCACAGAGGTATTTGGTCAGTGCTGCACATTATGGATAAGAATGGCTGCTTTTTTAGTTCTAATGATTTCTGCACTAAATTTAATTGTAAGCGTGAGGAAAAAGCTTATTTGAAAGTTACTAAAAGCATTCCTTAATATGTTAAAGGGGATTTTAACATACTCCACCCTCATTCCCAAGATTTTGCATCTTAAATTAAGCAAAATATTTGTAGATGAGAAGTGCATTAATACGTTTATAAGAAATTGTCTTGTGCAGGAAAGCTATCCTGGTCCAATAAGAAGGAGCTATATTTGTCAACATCTAAATAGGAAATCAGTTAATGAATGTAGATGCAAATATTTGTTATTTCCTCTTCCACCAAAATATAAAGAAGTGCACTTTATATTTTTGTACGATATTTATCCCGCTAAGGAATTTCTGAGATTAAGATTTAATGTGGATTGTAATATTTGTAACAGTTCTGTAGTGAATAATGACGTAGAAACACTTATTTTTCCATTGTTATCTGCTTAATTCGGTTTGGACTGACGTATGTAATCGGATTAAACAAAGAATATCTAGTACTTGGGACATGTTGAAATTTGGAGGTTCATTTTAATAACTCATATTAAACTACTTTATTCACAAATGTAAATTCTGAAAACAGCACCCCAGTTTAATATCTTTAAAAAGGAGCTTGTATACAGAGGTCCTGAGAATTATGAGAAGTGATAAAGCCAAGAAATTATTTGATTTGTTTAATAAGTGTGATTTCGTTTAAGCCCCTACATTGTTTATGGTTGCATGAATGTATTTTATTTTATTTGGATTAATGTCTTGCATGATGGTTATAGTATGATTCATATGAATGTCTCAGTCTGTGAGGACTTACAGTTGTGTTGCTTGAAATGCAAAGAAAAAAAAAAGGTAACAACTGGACAAAAACAAAAACAAGCCAAAACAGTGACGCACGCTCAGCTGACGCTCAGAGATCACGTGACCGCTGGAGCAGGAAGTACTCTCAGGTCTGTCACTTTCACTTTGTTCTGTCTTAATGTTTGACATGTTTGTTCATCATTTATTTAGCTGAGCGTTTTTATTCCCTTAGGGTCTATTCATGTGGTTGTTTAGAGGTATATTTCAGTTTATTGGAGTTATTTTAGTGTGTGTCTTCTGCTGTGATGTTATTTCAGTCATCACTAACACTAACTGAACTCAATCAGTTTTGTGAAAAAGAACAAATTATCGTTTTAATGCACAAAATGAGGATTTTTGACTGCTGATGTATAAGACTTAATAATTTAAATGCTATATAATCATATTTCCTCATTACACTAATGCCGATTTCAGATGAGGGAGGGTTGAAATGTCATATTTAATATTTAATATTTAATATTTTTTAGCAGAATTTTGATTGAAAATGTCATTCTGACCAGTCGAAGTTCAACCGATCCTCAAAAATTAAGAAAGTGCATTTTGAAAGCAGAAAATTAATTATGATTTTTGATATATGATGTTTAAAAACAATTTAAATAATATATAATTTTGTACTCATTACTGTAATGACAATTTTAATATTTTATTTGATATTAATTAATATTTTTCAGAAGATTTGGACTCGAAAATGTATAATGCACCCCTAAAGAAAATAAGAAATGATTTTTTAAATGTAGAAAATGAGGCGTATTGTGAGAACAATTATGATTTTTGACAGCTGATGTTTCAGGTGAGGGTTGAAATGTCATGATATTTCATATTTTATTCGTATGGTATTTAATATTTGCATTTTAGTGTTTGGCTTCTGCTGTGATGAATGTATTAATCTCATAACTAACACCAACTCAGCTGATGCAGGTGGATTTATACAGTCCTCCATCAAAACATAACACACTGCAGCTGACGGAAAGCAGGTAAAGAGTGTTTCTGAGCAGTTAGTAATTCAGTCAATTATTCTGCCCTTGTGTAAGTGGTTTGAATCACATGCACGCGTCTCAAACAGCTTCGCTCAGCACTTTATCTTCAGATGTTGTGCTTCAGCTCAGTCAATGATTGCACAGTCTGTCACGTGACGCTCATGAGACTCTGTTGTGATCAGATGAAGAGATGATGATGATGATGATGGCGGCGCTGCTGTGTTTCTGCGCTCTGATCTCTGCTGTTTGCTGTGCGCCGCTCATAGAAACTCAACCTGAACAGGTGCATGTCTCATATCCAGGTGAGATTTCACTCTTCATGATTGACAGCTGTCAATCAAGACAGACGGGTTTCCATGGAAACCCTGCAGTCATTGTGTGATTTGTAGTCTTCGTACCGATAATTGTTTTGGCTCTCGTGAGTGTAATTCTGTTATATGAGTCATTTAATATTTTATTTTAAATCAGTTGATATTTTTCAGCAGAAATTGAACATTTTATACCTAAAAAAAAAAATAGGAAAAATTCATTTTGAATGCAGAAAGTGAGGCTTTTTTTACTAAAACATTTGAGGTTTAAAGACTTCACGATTTAAATAATATATAATAATTTTTCCTAGTCACATTTTCAGGTGAGGGAGGGTTGAAATGCCGTGATATTTAATATTTTATTTCATGTTAGTTGTTATTTTTCAGCAGAGCGGTTATGATTTCTGACAGCTGATGTTTAAAGATTTCACAAATTAAATAATATGCTTTTTTTTTTTGTCTTTGAAATAATGACAATTTCAGATGAGGAAGGGTTGTATTTTATTTAAAATGGATGTTTTTCAGCAGAATTTTGTTTGAAAATGTCAATATATCTATTATTTTATTTAATTTTAGTTTATATTTTTCAGCCGATATTTGAAAATGTCATTCAAAAAAAAAATTAAGATTTTTTATTTATTTTTGAGAACAGTTATGATTTTTGACAGCTGATGTATAAAGACTTCACGTTTTAAATAATATATAGTAATTTTTCATAATTACAGTAATGCGAGGGAGTGTTGAAATGTGTTGGAAATGATAAATCATTGTCTCTGTGTTTGTACTTTGCTCAGTGACAGTAAAGAGGGTCATGTGACCCGAGCAGGTGTTTATAACGGAGCGTCTTTCCTCAGGTGTGAAGAACTCGATGTTGGTCACATGGTCCACCGCTAATAAAACCGAGAGCGTTGTTGAGTACGGTCTGTGGGGCGGGAAGCTCTTCAGTCACACGGCGGAGGGAGACGCAAGCGTGTTTATCGACGGAGGGCCGGAGAACAGAACGATGTACGTCCACCGAGTCACGCTGACCGATCTGACCCCAGCGGCTTCATACGGTAACCTTCACACAGACATCACACAGTGTGTGTGACCTGGACGATAGAGATGTTAATAGATGTGTGTGTGTTTCAGTGTATCACTGCGGCAGCGACGCCGGATGGAGCGACATCTTCTACTTCACGTCTCTGAATGAAAGCGTGAGCTTCAGCCCCAGATTCGCTCTGTTTGGTGACATGGGCAACGAAAACCCTCAGTCTCTGAGTCGACTGCAGAAAGAGACGCAGATGGGGATGTACGACGTCATTCTGCACATCGGTGAGACCGCAAACGAATAGCTCGGCCAAAATGAAAAAGCACTGGAAATGTGCTCATCCCAGATCAGGATGAGTTTGTGTCTTCATCAGGTTTGGAGAAATGCAGCATTGCGTCAGTGTCTCACTGCAAGTGAATGGGTGCCGTCAGAATGAGAGTCCTGCAGTCATTGTGTGATTTGTAGTCTTCGTACCGATAATTGTTTTGGCTCTCGTGAGTGTAATTCTGTTATATGAGTCATTTAATATTTTATTTTAAATCAGTTGATATTTTTCAGCAGAAATTGAACATTTTATACCTAAAAAAAAAAATAGGAAAAATTCATTTTGAATGCAGAAAGTGAGGCTTTTTTTACTAAAACATTTGAGGTTTAAAGACTTCACGATTTAAATAATATATAATAATTTTTCCTAGTCACATTTTCAGGTGAGGGAGGGTTGAAATGCCGTGATATTTAATATTTTATTTCATGTTAGTTGATATTTTTCAGCAGAGCGGTTATGATTTCTGACAGCTGATGTTTAAAGATTTCACAAATTAAATAATATGCTTTTTTTTTTGTCTTTGAAATAATGACAATTTCAGATGAGGAAGGGTTGTATTTTATTTAAAATGGATGTTTTTCAGCAGAATTTTGTTTGAAAATGTCAATATATCTATTATTTTATTTAATTTTAGTTTATATTTTTCAGCCGATATTTGAAAATGTCATTCAAAAAAAAAATTAAGATTTTTTATTTATTTTTGAGAACAGTTATGATTTTTGACAGCTGATGTATAAAGACTTCACGTTTTAAATAATATATAGTAATTTTTCATAATTACAGTAATGCGAGGGAGTGTTGAAATGTGTTGGAAATGATAAATCATTGTCTCTGTGTTTGTACTTTGCTCAGTGACAGTAAAGAGGGTCATGTGACCCGAGCAGGTGTTTATAACGGAGCGTCTTTCCTCAGGTGTGAAGAACTCGATGTTGGTCACATGGTCCACCGCTAATAAAACCGAGAGCGTTGTTGAGTACGGTCTGTGGGGCGGGAAGCTCTTCAGTCACACGGCGGAGGGAGACGCAAGCGTGTTTATCGACGGAGGGCCGGAGAACAGAACGATGTACGTCCACCGAGTCACGCTGACCGATCTGACCCCAGCGGCTTCATACGGTAACCTTCACACAGACATCACACAGTGTGTGTGACCTGGACGATAGAGATGTTAATAGATGTGTGTGTGTTTCAGTGTATCACTGCGGCAGCGACGCCGGATGGAGCGACATCTTCTACTTCACGTCTCTGAATGAAAGCGTGAGCTTCAGCCCCAGATTCGCTCTGTTTGGTGACATGGGCAACGAAAACCCTCAGTCTCTGAGTCGACTGCAGAAAGAGACGCAGATGGGGATGTACGACGTCATTCTGCACATCGGTGAGACCGCAAACGAATAGCTCGGCCAAAATGAAAAAGCACTGGAAATGTGCTCATCCCAGATCAGGATGAGTTTGTGTCTTCATCAGGTTTGGAGAAATGCAGCATTGCATCAGTGTCTCACTGCAAGTGAATGGGTGCCGTCAGAATGAGAGTCATAAAAACATCACCATAACACACAGCACTCCAGTCCATCAGTTAACATCAATCCAGCATTAAGACGTCTTTAACTCAAATCCCATAGAGTCCATAATCCATAATAACTCTTCCTCCAGTGAAGAAGTGTTCTGGTGTGAATCAGGAGAGAAATCTGCACACCGTTTACAAGCCACAACTTAAATTTTTTGTCTTCTCCAGATGTTAACTGATGGACTGGAGTGCTGTGTGTTATGGTGATGTTTTTATGACTCTCATTCTGACGGCACCCATTCACTTGCAGTGAGACACTGATGCAATGCTGCATTTCTCTAAACCTGATGAAGACACAAACTCATCCTGATCTGGGATGAGCACATTTCCAGTGTGAACTGTTCCTTTAACTGAGTCCGAGCAGATTAGTTTGTCGTCCCAGTGACGATGGTTTAGTTCTAGTTTTGTGTCAGAGTTATGCTTGTGCGTGTGCTTTACAGCATGTGATTGTCTTCACAGGGGATTTCGCGTATGACATGCACGAGGTAAGAAACACAGCTGGCCATGTAGTGCCACATCAGTTTTGTTAATATTTTGAATTCATTTTATTTTTAGATTTTCTGCTTTCATGTTAATTTGAACGACTCGAGGGAAGTAAATGAAGATAGAACGATTATTTTCGAGTGGACAGTTTTTGCTGCTGTGTTTTTAAGGCGTCTATATTTAGCACAAGACTACAGAAATCAGTCAAATCAAGTGATGATCGACCCGAATGTCTAATGTTGCCCGTAATATCATAATCGGTGACAAAAACCACAAATACAGCTGTCAAACTTTAGTGGAAGCACAGTGCATCTGAAAACTCATTAGAGCAACGACCACAAAATTCCCCAATCACTATAATTATGTAAGAGTCTGGAAAATAGACAGATTTGATTTAAGTTTGTCGTGACTTCTTAGTTTTAAAACGGTGTGTGTTTGAAATATTATATCATAATGTGATTATGAGCTGAACACAGATCTGTTTTTAATCACAGTCTTGATTCTGAGGATGTTTTATGTCTCAGTGTTATGGAGATGCAAAATGACAGAAGATAAGAATAGAAACTGATCAGAATAAAGTGAGTTTGAGATTTAACCAAATGAATCCAAATGGAAAACAAGGTCATTTTTCTGGCCCCATTGCACTGTAAAACAAAAGTTGTACATAAAACAGATGATCGAAATATGTTAGCTCAGTGTGTTACTTCCTGTTTCTTTGTAATTATCTGCAAATGAACTTGCAATTTCTGATTGAAAATTGTTTCTACAGCAAATTTTCTTCAGTGTGGCAGATATTTGTTCTTGTTAAACTATATGAGGTGAACCCAGTGCTTAATCAAGGAGTTAATTAGGGGTTCAAGCGCGTAGCACTGAAAACTTATTGTAATTGTTAGAATGGCCAAAGATCAGCAATCTCCATCTAAAACTGATCGGGCAGAGCAAACCGTGAGTCGTAGAGACTTGAAACTTGGAGGGATGCTAGTACTCACACCGTCTACAATGTCACCAAAGCTCGCCCCAATCGGCCTGACGGGGGCGCTACAGCGATCAAAAGAATGAAATCGCTCATATCTCCTAAACCGTTAGCCGCATGCTCAAGTGCCTTATATCGTTGGAATCCTCGGGTATTTTGGTATTTTGGATACTTTTGCGAACTAGTCCTAGGTTTTTCACCCGATCGGAACCAAACCAGTGCAGAAAGATTCTTTGGAGAGTGAATATCAATAATTATCAAAGAGGGACGCCAAAACGTTCGGCAGCTTTTACTAAAACGCCTAAAACTTTTGAACGGAATGAGATATCTTCACCAAACTCAGAACACTCATGTAGGAGCTCAGTCTGAGGTCACATGAACAAAATCATGGAGCTTGGCCACTTGGTGGCGCTATAAGAGGGAAAAAACTTTAAAATGGCTATAACTACGGAACCATTTGTCCGATCAATTCAATTCAAGTTTATTTGTATAGCGCTTTTCACGATACAAATCGTTGTTTTACAGAAAATTAAGTTTCTACAATATATTTAGTAGTTAATGTACAGTGTTTAGTGTCAGTTAATGTACATATGGCAGAAATGTGTGGAAAGATCAATTCAAGACGTAATCAAACAGACGATGAACACTATTAACTGCAATTATTATATGAACTTATAGCAAAATTTGGTAGTTCATCAACATGAAAATTGGAACGTAGTGTCTTTGTCCAATGTGCCAGAAGTGTCTATGAGGACATTAGCGTATCTCAAAAAACATGGCCGCCATTGGCCAATGAATTTTGAGCACCTATTAGACAAGGTTAATGGAGGTCGATCGTAATGAAACTCAGTGGGCCTGTTTGACTCACGGCCCTAAAGGTCTGTGAGACATTTGAAAGAAATCAGCCACTGGGGGGCGATATCGCATTTTTCAAGGGCGTAATTGATTGTACATTGCACGGTTTTTCACACATACACACAATATTCATATCATCTGTTAGACCTCCTCATTCCGAACAACTTTGCCTCTAGAACCACTGCTGTCAATCAAATTGTTTGTTAAATAATTGAGAATATGTAAAAACCTACTTTTGCAAACTAGCCCTAGGTTTTTCGCTCAATCTCGGAAAAACCACAGACTCTATATCAATAATTATTAAAAAATGTTGAATTTCACCCTTTGGGTAGTTATAACTGGTCGTTTAGAAAAGGGGCGTGTCCAAATATACCCAAAAGCCTATAAACGAAAACTCAAAACTTCATGAAACTAGGTGAGCCCATGCAACAGGTGATTCTAAACAAGTGTGCTAAGTTTCATAGAGATCAGACCACAGGTGGCGCTATAACAGTTAAAAAGGCTTCAAAAACACTATATTTCTATGGTAAACTATATGTCTATGGTTCAGAAATACACTAGATCTTCACTTCGTACGATTGATCTGCTCATTCTGAATAACTTTGCCTATAGGACTGCTGTCAATCAAACTGTTCTTTAAATATTTGACATTATTTAAAAAACCTACTTTGGCAAACTCCTCCACTCCGGCCATAGGTGGCGCTGTAACAGTCATAAACATAAAAAAATCGTCATATTTCTATGGTTAATTACCTGGATTTGCCAAAAATGCTTTTTTAAATCATTGATTTAGGTGGTTACAGGCTTGCTAAATAATACGTAATGTCTTATTTCATGTGTGCTTAAATGCCTTAAAGCGCTTGAACCCCAAAAATCACTGCAAAAATTGAAAACAAAATTCTTAAATTATTTTAAAAAATTTATTGAAATTACGTAATTTAAAATTTAAATACCATTGATTTTGCCATGAATATAACCATTGCTGCTGACACGACGTTAAATCATAAATAAATCAAATAAATATTTGTTCTAAGAATAGTAAGAATGAGAATATGAATGTTTTAAGAATAAATGTATCTTGATTTAAGAATGTTTAGATAAGACAAAACATGCTTTTTGCACTGTATTTGTAATCTGACCGGCTGCTGAATAATTTATTCAGTTTCTCATCCCTCTTAGTAAGCGATTCAGACACAGCCGGCTGACTTTTCATGTTTTTTAGTGAACTAGTTAGTAGTTTGAGTGCTGACCTCACTGTGACCACTGGAGGGAAGCACAAACCTCTGGATCGATGGTAAAAGTGATTGACTGTGTAGAGATGGTTTTTGGGCTCAGTGAAATATTCTGTAAATGTCTGGCCAGATGTTTTCCTAGACTTGACCGCATGACCTCTGTGAGCTCTCAGCACATCCATACCAGCACAACGGAAACTCAAAAAAATGATCCTGAACCTCCGCATCCTCTTGACCTTTGACCCCACCCTCTGAGGTCACTGACTGTGACCCTGAATTAACCCTGTCCGTGTGAGACACGAGAGCGTTTAGTGTTTTTCTGTTTCTCGCTGGTGTCGTTTGAAGGCCTGAATATGTTCACTGTGTAACTCAGTAACGGCTGCTGTGGTTTTCTGTCTGTGTTTATTTTTCCAGTAACTTCTCCCACTACAGGAGTCGTTTCAGTATGCCGGGACACACGGAGAATCTGTGGTACAGGTACGAGCACTGACACTCGACAAGCGTCTGAGATCTTGAGCTGTTTTGCTTTGTTTTCTTTTCTATGGAAGCTTGTTTCCACCACGGGATTAAAAAAAAGGTAGTTATCTCACAGTTCTGACTTTATACCACAATTCTGAGGGGAAGAAAACACAGAATTGCGAGATAGAAACTCAGAATTGCTTTATATCTTACAATTCTGACTTTTTTCTCGCAATTTGTACTTTTGAATTTTTTTGCAATTCTGTCTTTTTTTGCAATTCTGTCTTTTTTCTCGCAGTTCTGACTTTTTTCTCGCAATCCTGACTTTTTTTTTGCAATTCTGTCTTTTTTTGCAATTCTGTCTTTTTTTGCAATTCTGACTTTTTTCTTGCAGTTCTGACTTTTTCTCGCAATTCTGACTTTTTTCTCGCAGTTCTGACTTTTTTCTCGCAGTTCTGACTTTTTTTTTGCAATTCTGTCTTTTTTTGCAATTCTGACTTTTTTTGCAATTCTGACTTTTTTCTCGCAATTCTGACTTTTTTTTTGCAATTCTGTCTTTTTTTGCAATTCTGACTTTTTTCTCGCAATTCTGACTTTTTTTTTGCAATTCTGACTTTTTTCTCGCAATTCTGACTTTTTTTTTGCAATTCTGACTTTTTTCTCGCAGTTCTGACTTTTTTTTTGCAATTCTGACTTTTTTCTCATAATTTTGACTTTATATATCACAGTTTTGAGTTCATAACATAGCTCTGACTTTTTTCTCAGAATTGCCAGAAAAAAAGTCTGCATTTTGAGATAAAAGTCGCAGTTATCGTTGTTCTTTTTCTTTATCCTGTGGCGGAAACAAGCTTCTGTATCTTTCAGACTGGTGGAAAGAAAATAAGTGTTTGTTTTATTGCACTTTGTCTATTATATCTCTGAGTTTTATCTCAGAAATCTCCACTTACACTATAAAGAAAGAAAACTAGAAAGACTCTCCCTGTTTTATCCTGTAGTTCTTCACATGAGCTCAATTATAATGTCTGGATAAACTGTTTGAGAGAGGTCATAAGGTGCAGATTATAGTCAGTTAAGTACGTTTGTTATGAATCATCTCTGCGCTGGAACATCATAATTGAGCGAGCGATATATCTGTGCTCGTGGGAGAAAGCTGGAAAAACTACTGAGGTTCTGCTTTAAACACAGAGAGGATGAAGAATCCAGCTCTGCGTTGCTGGATGATTGTTTTTCCCAGTCTGAAGAAACATTTAGTGTTTGCACAGTCAGTTTTGAACACTGAAGCATGTTTATAACTGTGTGTAGCTGGAACATTGGACCCGCTCATATCATCTCCTTTTCCACGGAAGTCTATTTCTATCTGGAATACGGCCTGGATCTGCTCTTCAGACAGTATGAGTGGCTACAGGCCGATCTACAGGTACAAATACAGAACAGATGCTGCTGTGGTCTCTCAGAAATCAACTTTGCTGTGGATGAACACTGCAAAAATCATGTTCATAGATGTACAGTGGGGCAAAAAAGTATTTAGTCAGCCACCAATTGTTATTCCTTTAAACAGTTTTACTGTAAAAATATTGAAACATCCTTAAAACTAAGCAAAACTGTGGAAGATAATCAGGCATGTTTTTATAGTTTTAAGCATGAATCCAGCAAAACTGAGTGGCATTTATGAAATAAAGCAAGGGAATATTCTCGAGTGTTTCTGTGCTTGATAAAGGAAGCGAACCGTCCTGCGAACCGAGCGCAGCGGCCGTGGATCATCACGATGGGACACAGACCCATGTACTGCTCCAACGATGACGGAGACGACTGCACACACTTCCAGAGCTACGTGTGTGATCTCAGATCTCATGCTGTGTGTGATTCTGTTTCAGTACCATCTCAAGACGAGGTCAGATGGTTAATGTTGTCTTTGGTGATGTCTGCTGTTTCAGGTCCGACTTGGACGCAATGACACGAAACCCGTTGCTCCTGGACTGGAGGATTTATTCTATCAGTACGGTAAGAGGATCGCGCCGTTTTAAGGGATGCACTGGTCAGTTTTGAGTTTTTAGTCTATTTTGCTTCTATATGGAAAGAAAACATCCAAAATACACATTTAAGAGTTTATTTTTTTGCGTCTGTAGTTTTCAATCTCAGTCCATATGTTTAAAGAGTTTTTCTCTAACAAACACCAAACTTTACAGTTTTATTCCTCTCGATATTCCTAAAAACAATCTGTCTGTTGCACTAGAGATGCACAATGACATAAGATGTTAAGTCTTGCTCTCTGAAAAGTTTTTCAACATTTTGATTTCTGACCCCATTAGCAGATCTTTTTTCTTTTTTTTAACAAAACCTATTAAAATTGACAATTTTTTCAGAAAACAAGACTTTACATCTTATGTCATTATGCATCTCTAGTAAATATATCTTCAGTTAAGAATGTTTAGATATTTGCACTGGAAAACAATACAAAAATACTGAGGAGGTAAATCATTTTTTGCAGTTTGACAGTATTTTTATTTTTTTTTATTTATGGAGTGATTAAAATAGAAATCCCAAAAAATCCCCTCTGGAAAAACCTTTAATATGACAACAAAATCAAACAAGAATTATGAATCTGGCTTTATCCAGTGTTCAAATTCATGCTCTGGAGATGTATGCAAATTAGCACATATTTAATTAGATAATGCATCATTTGCATATTTAAGCATATCATTTCAGAAAACTTGTAATGCTACACAGTTGTCTAATGTACTGTGATTAATCAACTAGGGAACGTGTGAGAATATATTTATTAGTTAATTTTTTTCCCTGTTTACCTCTAGTATTAGTATCTCAGTCTATATTTTTAATGATTGTTTCCTAGCCTAAACTGTGTGTATGTGCGTGCGTGTGTGTGTGCGTGTGTGAGTGTGTGTGTGTGAGTGTGTGTGTGCGTGTGTGAGTGTGTGTGTGAGTGTGTGTGTGTGTGTGTGTGTGTGTGTGTGTGTGTGTGTGAATGAGTGGATGTGTGTGAGTGTGTGTGTGAATGTGTGTGTGAGAGTGTGTGAGTGCATGTGTGTGTGTGAGTGTGTGCATGTGTGTGTGAGTGAGAGTGCATGTGTGTGTGAGTGAGAGTGCGCGTGTGTGTGTGTGTGTGAGTGCATGTGAGTGTGAATGCATGTGTGTGTGTGTGAGTGCATGTGAGTGTGTGCATGTGAGAGTGCATGTGTGTGTGTGTGAGTGAGAGTGTGCGTGTGTGTGAGAGTGAGAGTGAGAGTGTGTGTGTGCGAGTGTGTGCGAGTGTGTGCGTGTGCGTGTGCGTGTGTGTGCGTGTGTGTGCATGTGTGTGTGTGTGTGTGTGTGTTTCAGGAGTGGATCTGGAGCTCTGGGCTCATGAACACACGTATGAGAGACTCTGGCCCGTGTACGATTACAAGGTAAAGCTCAGCACTGATCTGAAAGTGCTCTGTGATCGACTTTATCAGATGTGACGTGTGTTTGTGTCCCGCAGGTGTTTAACGGGAGCTCTGAAGAGCCGTATGTGAATCCTAAAGCGCCCGTGCACATAATCACAGGTTCAGCCGTGAGTATCGTCAGAAGCACCAGCAACACTAGTTTCACGAGGGTTTGTGAAGGTTGAGAAGGGCACTGTTCATGATAGACTACTAACTTACTGCATACTACACGATACACTGTCTATTTATTAAAACAGTATGTAAAGCAGCACATATGAAGTGCACTAGTGCACACCCAGTGTTTTTTCTCCAGAGAGATTTTAAAATAGTCTGTTTAAAGCGTTTTAATCCATAAATCAAACAACCAGCTATGAGCAGAATCACAACAGTATGATTTATATTATAAGTATTTGAAAATCAGGCAAAAAGACAAAAATATGTTCTAATAACATTTAGCCAACGTTCCAATTAGGTAAAAAAAAAAAAAACATTCCAGTTTTTTAAAAAATGTTTTAAAATCATTTTATCATTTTGCAAACATTATGGGAACGTTACTTTTGAAGGTTCTCTGAATGTTCTGAAACATTTAAAAAGAAACATTAAACTGACATCCAACTAAAATGTTTCAAGAAGTTTCAGTAACAGAAGAACGTTGAGAGAACCTTGACAGAACGTTCTGAGAACATTCCCTGTTAGCTGGGAACTACAAGAACTACAATCCCATGAAGCATTGCAAATTACATCATCGAATTAAAAACACTGCAGTAATATAAAACTATTAATTAAAAGAAAATGAATGGAGCAAAAGACACATGATGCAGCGCAGACGTCAAGTCGAGGTTATTACACTGAACTAAATCCATTAAAAAAAAGAGAAAATATAAAAAACTATTTCAAGCTATTAATAAAAATTATGGTAACACTTTACAATAAGGTTCCATAAGTTAATGTATTAACTAACATGAACAATAGATTTATTACAGTATTTATTAATCTTTGTTAATGTTAGTTAATGAAACTACTGTCGTTCACTGTTCATGTTCGTTCACAGTGCATTAACTAATGTTAACAAACACAACTTTTGATTTTAATAATGTATTGGTAAATGTTGAGATTAACATTAACTAAGATTAATAAATGCTGTAGAAGTGTAAGAAATTAACCTTATTGTATAGTGTTACCAAAATCATAATAGTATTTCAGTGATACTATAATAACAGTCTAACATGCGCTCACTTAGAAAAAGAAAAAGCAGAAGTACCGCAGTGCAGTGTAAAAATGTGTTCTGCGTGAATGACCCCTAAATTACCACCTTTCTAGCAGAATGCATTGTAAGAAAAATCATCCACCAACTTCCAGAACCCAACAATAAACATTTAGGATTCAGTGTGTCGTCACACGAACCCATCGTGTTTCATGTTTGCATTTTAAATTGAATTTTGCATGAAAAAAATGACTTCCAGCTCTGGAAACAGAAGGTCGAGTTGAGTGCATTGCATTGTGGGATACGGTATGCCATGTGTTGGTGTTTTAGCAGATGTGTGATTTTGTCTTGTTCAGGGCTGTCGAGAGAAACACGACGGCTTCATCCCTAAACCTCGTGACTGGAGTGCGTTCAGAAGCACGGATTACGGCTACACACGCATGCGTCTGCTCAACGGCACGCACCTGTACCTGGAGCAGGTGTCTGACGACCAGGTAGCTCTCGTGAGTGTGTGTGTGTGTGTGTGTGTGAGAGAGAGAGAGTGTGT